TTCCTTGCTCTTCGCACACAGTACACACACTGTTTGCAGGACTATCACTGGCCAGTCAGTCGTCTGCTTCTTAATCTCATGCAGGACGCTCCGGCTTGGATTGGAACCACACTTTTCTCCCCTCGAATATCCGAGCCGAGAGGGAAATACACCATAAACCTGATGCTGTGCCATTCTGAGCAGAATGAGCCATTTGTGCGACGGCGGCATTCAGATAATAAACGGCGTGTGTTTGCGTGTCGACTCTTCAATATGTATCTGCTCTTCTAGCTTTCACTTGGAAAGACAACCTCTCTCGTTTAATTCTCTCCAGACACAGGCAGTAGACGACCTACAGTCCATTTCACACATTCCGCCATCTTGCTGAGCAGAGGGACGGTGACCAGACGTCGCGAAAGAGTTTGAGCTGCAGTCCAAGCATGGGCATCGTTATAGCCCCAAATATTATAAGTCTAGCCCTGAGTATTTTACCCCCGATGCCAGTCTTCCTTCAGAAAAAGAAAAATGTCAAGCCCCGGGTAAACTTGACTTAGCCCTTGATTTTTTTGCAATAGCAAAAGACGAGAAGAGATTTACCCTCTAAAAATTCCAGGAAGGATTTTTGAATTTTCACAGTGATGCACCAATGCTGAAAACGCTTGTAGCAACTTGGGAGCAAAATTAACCAGGAACGAGGGAAGGATTATCAGTAGCCTCAGTACTGTGGTTCATGGAGTCAGATGTTCACACACGGCCAGTGACCAGCCCGTCCAAAGAAGACTGCTTCAGTTCCAGTTTACTAAGGGCACAGTGCTGCTCTCCAGGGTCCTGAAGCCTGAATCAAACACTGCTATTCTAAAATAAAGTAACATGTACACCACAGTGGTATTGGGCCTTATTTGCGTACCTGTATCAGCACAGTGTCCTGTCTGTATACAAACTGTTCTCAGTCTTAAGAATGGCATTATTCATCTGTCTGCATCTATCCATCCATCCATTGATCCTCATTCTACTCATTGTGGCGAGGGTTGTTCTGTCTGATCTGTCTGTTCCATGGATTTGTAAAACAATCCAACCAGAAAGTATCTCTGTTAAATAAGAGACTGTATACTCAAACCAGTGATGGCATTTATTTAATGAATATTTATGTACTATCACATCACAGAATTGGACCTGGAACTTACAGAACTTGCTGCCAGGATTGGTAGGTTTTTGGAGAAAAAGGGTCAGTTCTAATGTTAGAAACCATAATAACCATCTACATTCCATGCAGCTGTTTGTGTGTGCAAACTTCCTATATTCATGTATATTTACTAAGATATTTCATATGACCTGTGTTACTTCAACAGTCTCAGAAGAGAGAAAGAGGGAAAAAAATGGTGAAATGGCAGGACCTCTGCGGGATGCTCTGTGCCTTCCTAATTTCCCAGTGGAGTTTCCTCTTCTTTAAGCCCATAGCTAACCTTTCATAGCCCCCCCCCCCCCAATACCTCCTAAGCCCCCACCTCCTGAGAAAAGAGGCAACAATGATTCATCTCATAAATAAATGTTGACTACTGTGTTGTCTCCTTAATGTTGAAAATCTCCAATTACACACCCTAATTAACAGCCATGAGTCAGAGCGGAAGGCAGACACTAGAAGACAATCAGAGGTTCACTCGCTGTGACATTTATGGTCAATTAGAGCACAGATAAAGGCTGGTGGGTGATGGGGGGGGGGGTCACACCTGTGTGGGACGATATGGCGGGGTTTTGGGGGAGGGAGATGGGGGGCACCAGGATTCACAGTGGGGTGCGAGTGGTGGCTGACCGGAAGCCAGGATGTTCAGCAGTGCTCCTGCGGAGTGAGCTGGTAACACAGCCGAACGTTCACGGGTGAGTGGGGAAGCAGGTGTGAAAGCAGCACTGGGGCTCAGGTCAGAGGAAAACATTGTGTATACATTCTTTGGGGGGGGGGGGTGTCAAGCTGGGGTAGATAGATAGATAGATAGATAGATGATAGATAGATAGATAGATAGATAGATAAATAGATAGATAGATAGATAGATAGATGATAGATAGATAAATAGATAGATAGATAGATAGATGATAGATAGATAGATAGATAGATAGATAGATAGATAGATAGACAGACAGACAGACTGTACACTGTAGGTGTAACTGAAGTCCAATCCATCCACTCTTGTGACACTGCAGGTGGAGTAAAGTATTCCAAAAATCAGGAAAACAACAAAAACTTTGCAGATTTGCTTAATGACCATTGTTCTCCTTCAGTTTGCTACAGGCACAACAAGCTAAAAACACACAAAAAAAAGCACGGCTCTCCACGGCACCAGAAGTATATTTAATATTTAAATAAGTAAGATATGAACATCACGGTTACTTTAGTTCCTTCAGTCACTAATGTCCCTCACCGTACGCTGTCTTAATCTGCTGGCCTTTCATCTGCTCCATGTACATGGTTTTTACCAGTAAGTCATAAAGAAGACAGGTGATTCTGTGCCGCTGCTGCCCAGTCACCTATCATCCTTCCGGCATACTCTGGGAAATCAAACTTTGAACGACACAAGTGAAACGATAGCTATACAACGGCGGCAAAAGGAGCCACTTTCGCGAAGAGGCTGAAAAGCTGATCCACTGACTGGTATTTTTAATATGGCAGAAGTCATCACACCGGGATTTTCAGGTAAAACTATTTCATGGCATCTTACATACCGCCCAGTGTTCATTAGCATTCAGCGGCATTTTATGTTTTAGCGGGCTTGTTTTCCTGATGCTTTCATAAGTCACCTTGTTCGCCGTCTCGTCCATCCATCCTTTCCCAGGCACCTTCTTGCCTGCCTTCCTCCCCGCCCTTCCCTCCATGTTGCTCTCCTGAGCTTTGGCCATCCTCATTACCGAGTACTTTCTGCATGTTTCTTAATTGTGTCCCTTTTCCTTGCCACCTGCCTCCTGCCTCCCCTCCCCCCCATTAGCAGGTCTCATCTGTGCTCTCTAACAGCTCCTAATTGTCATCATAAGGCACCCCTCCCTGTCACAACTGGAGAACAGGCCTCCGACCGACAGCGCGCAGCCTGGCCGGGAAGGACTCCCGAGACTGTGGCGGGCCTCGGCGCGCTGCTCCTGGGACACAGAGCAAGGCCTCTGGCAGAGAAACAGGGCCCCACGGTGTACCTGACAAGGGCAAACGGAGCTGGGGCTCTAACAAGACAACGATGTACAGCGGTGTCCCTAACAACACTAAATTGGGCCTGCGCCCTGTAGGCAAACAATGTACAATAGTTTACTGTAACAGAGGCGCAATGGGGCAAAAAATGATTGCGAAGACACTGCAGGATAATTGCAGAATTAATAGCACAGTGTTAAAAACATCTAATGAGATAGTTCTGAAAGTAAACATAGAAGTGGAAGAATAATAACTCGTAAGTAAGCGTAAGTAAGTTACGCTGCTTGCAGATACATGCTTTCTACTTAAGCTTGTACTGTAGTTAATTTTTTAAAGGTTTAAAATGAAAATAAGTTTACTTGTTATGAGAAGGATATCATATCGACCAATCAACAACACGATTACACAAATTAATACATGAAAGAAAGAAAAGCTGCCCTGTAAGTTCAGACCTCCTAAAACCTCGTTGTGTAAATATAGACGTCTTAAAAAGTCTCTGCTAGAAGTCCAAGCCTCTTATGAACAGAAGAGTATAATTCCAGACCTCCTAAAACAGAATTGTTTAACTCTAGACTACTTTAAAACATTTCTGGTAGAAATCTAGGCCTAAGAACTGTACTGTGTCATTGCAGACCTCCTGAAACACTGTTGCATAAATTTAGACCTCTTAAAAAGTCTCTGGTGGAAATCCAGACCTCCTAAGAACTATACTATATAAGTCTAGACCTCTTTAGAAAGTCTCTAGTGTCCAGACCTAAAAAGTGTGGTGTAAGCAAGCAGCAGCCTCGTCCTTGGCCCAAAGATGTGGCTGATTGGTACGAACACCTCTGCAGTGGCGGGATTTGGCGATAGGGTGACGGTGAGGGGGCAGCGCGTGCGAGGCGGGGGACCCCGGTTTGGGGCATCTGTCCCCCCAGCGTGGGGCCACGCGGGCCTGCAGCCGGGCAGCTGGAGGCTCAATCTGTTGTGCGGGTTGCTGTGGGGCGGTGGGGCAGGGGGGGGGGCGGAGGAGAGCTCACAGCGGGCCGGCCGTTGGCGCGCTGGCTGGGACGAGCCGCTTGGCAGGCCTCAGCTGGGGGCTGACAGCTCAACACAGCTC